ATCCCCTATAGAACTGAAAGTGTACACTCTTTGGGCTTATGAACTCAGCAACTAAGGTCCTGTGTGCCATACTCTTCGTGGAAAGTGCGCCTCTGTGGCGGTTCCTTATGACACTGGTCCTTGTGCATGTCATGAAAGGTGTGCCACATCTCTTCGTGAGCGTGGCAGGGGGCCCCGTCCACTTGCAGATGCTTATCAGGAAGTACGCGGAAGGGAGCACCAAGCCCGTACGCGTCTACGGCAACGCGCCACTGTGCTGCCTCGCGCCCCTCTTCTTCCGGGAATCCGTTCCTTGGTAGCCCAGTGGTACCCTTTTCCCTTTTTGTTTTGTTTGGGGCTCTGGGTTCCCTTATAAAGCAGCTAACCCAAAAAAAAGAGGTGCCCTCATTCTAACATGTTTACTGGGCTACTTAGGGTTCTATATCTACCCTTTAAGGGCTTACCTATAGGGTACCTCATTCCCTCATTTCCCTACTAAGAACGCCCCCTTTTTTTTTGGGGGCTACCCAGGTTCCGAAGCCCATCGACCTGCCCAGGTTGAATCTGGGGATCTGGCAGTTCTGCGTCACTAGCTTGGATTTAGGGTTTAGGGTTTAGGGTTTAGGGTTTAGGGTTTAGGGTTTAGGGTTTAGAGTTTAGGGTTTAGGGTTTAGGGTTTAGGGTTTAGGGTTTAGGGGTACTTGGAAATAACTTGTAGTTTGTGGGTACTACAAGTCCTAAGAAACAGCATAAGAATGAAGATTTTTGCTAGGGCTCCAAGTTCAGTATAGGTCATCCAGCCGATCTTAGTTTTCATTGAGCTTCTCGGCCTTTTTGGACGTTTTTCATTGTCCCCTCTTTAGGGCTTAAGAGGATCATACTCAGGAAATCCCTAAACCCTAAACCCTAAACTCTAAACCCTAAACCCTAAACCATAGACCCTAAACCCTAAACCCCAGACCCTAGACCCTAAACCCTAAAGGCGCTTTAAACGGCCAGCTGAGGCTTTTCATTGCTTCCGAGCGAGCCGCGGGAGCACACTTCCTTGGTCTCTTCGACGCGCGGGCTCCTATCCTGATGTTGGTCAAGATTGCCAGCAATCTGCTTGCAAACTCTTCGTGTCTTAGTAGCTGAGTGAGTACATTTTACACTTTTTGGGATACTCTAATCCCCTATAGAGCTGGCAGTGTACACGTTTTTGGGGCTTCTGAACTCAGCAAAACTAAGGTGTCAAGGACTGGCCACTTTGGTTGCTGCGGTCACACCCGGTGGTGGGGGCTTGCAGTTTCAGGGCAAGCAGCGCTACGCGCAGGTGTTCTTGTGGGGGATGAACCTGCTCCCAGCCCTTCTGCACGCGTCGCTCGCCGGCCTCTTCGGTGTCCCCGATACACTTCAGCTGAGAAATGGACACACCCTGCATCCTCATGAAGTCCTCTGCCTTCTTACCTTCGTTGTGGTCTGCTTTGCCACCCTCTTCGGCGCGCACGCCGCGTGGCAGGCCTTTCCCGTTGACGACCAGCTCTATCCCGAGCTCTCGGAAGGTCTGTCTGAGTGCTTATCAGGAAACCTGTCCGGCCGGGGCTTGCACACAGTCAGGTTCTGCCCCTTCTGTGGCTCCCAGGACCTGACCATTGGCTCTAAGGCCTTAGGTGGTGACGTGGTGAGATGTTCCCACTGCAGCATGAGCGGCTTCCCTATGGAGCTGGAAGCTGGGAAGGAGAGGTCTCAGTAGGCAGCGGCCACTGATAGAACGGACAGCCCTGGGGGACCACATGAACCCGACAGTTTGGGGGTCATATACCCTGTAGCTTCTTCTGCATTTGGGGTCATATACCCTCGAGTTACGACACCAAACCCTACAACAAGGCATAATGGACCAGAAACCGTTTTAGTGTTCATCTGGTCCCCAAGGAATGCAGAGTGGCGAGTGGCTTATTTCAGGCGCTGAGAAAGGTCCGCGCGACCCGGAACCCGCACCTCAAAGCGGTTTCCTTCTCCACGGCGTAGACTTATAACCTAGTTACCCCCTAGCCCTAAGCTCTGAGTCCCAAATTACATTCCCAAAACCCTAAACCCAAACCCCAAACCCTAAACCCTAAGCCCCCTAAACCCCCTAAACCCCCTAAACCCCCTAAACCCCCTAAACCCCCTAAACCCCCCAAACCCCCTAAACCCCCTAAACCCCCTAAACCCCCTAAACCCCCTAAACCCCCTAAACCCCCTAAACCCCCCCCCTAAACCCCCTAACCCCCTAAACCCCCCCCCTAAACCCCCTAACCCCCCTAAACCCCCTAAACCCCCTAAACCCCCTAACCCCTAAACCCTAAGCCCTAAACCCTAAACCTTATTCAGGCGGCGATCCCTAGAAGGGTCTCCTCAAACTTGGCTTCCACCCAGCATGTGGATCAACTCCCTCATCAGGGTTTAGGGGCTTATAGGGTTTAGAATTTAAGGTTTAGGGAGGGATCATCAGGGTTAAATTTGGGCAAGCAAGTGTGGCACAATTTGCAATCGTAAGCTCTGACCCCCAGAGCCCCGCAACCCTCTACTCTACTTGAAAGCCTCGAACCCCTTATCAGCCACAGAAAGCCCCTACAGCCCCAAACCCCAAGCAAATACCGGAAAACCCCGAGTCAGGTTTACCCCCCCCCCTCCGAAGGAGAAACAAAACCTAAAACAAATCCCCCAAAAAGAGCCCTAAACCCTAAACCCTAAACCCTAAACCCTAAACCCTAAACCTTAATCCACAGGAATCCTTGTCTCCTCCTTCGATCCTGCGACCTCGCGGCAGCCGCCGCGGCCTGCACCAGGCCTTGCAAGTCAGGGTTTAGGGTTTAGGGTTTAGGGTTTAGGGTTTAGGGTTTAGGGTTTAGGGTTTAGGGTTTAGGGTTTAGGGTTTAGGGTTTAGGGTTAGGTTTAGGGTTTAGGGTTTAGGGTTTAGGGTTTAGGGTTTAGGGTTTAGGGTTTAGGGTTTAGGGTTTAGGGTTTAGGGTTTAGGGTTTAGGGTTTAGGGTTTAGGGTTTAGGGTTTAGGGCTCAGGGTTTAGGGATGTAGGGGTCTGGGGGCTTAGGAGGTGCTACTCTAAATCAGGGTCCCATCTGGGGTACCGAAAATATGAGACTCTACATCGTGCAAGGGATCCCAAAAAGGGACCGTTGGACTTCGGGTCTAGGGTGTAGGGTTAGGGTTTAGGGTTTAGGGTTTAGGGTTTAGGGTTAAGGGTTTAGGGTTAAGGGTTTAGGCACTCAGGGACAGGGAAGGCATTGCAAGGCATGGTGCTACTTGCGAAGCAACCATAAACCCTAAACCCTAAGCCCTAAACCCTAAACCCTAAACCCTAAACCCTAAACCCTAAACCCTAAACCCTAGACCCTAGACCCTAGACCCTAGACCCTAGACCCTAGACCCTAGACCCTAGACCCTAGACCCTAGACTCTAGACCCTAGGCCCTAGACCCTAGACCCTAGACCCTAGACCCTAGACCCTAGACCCTAGACCCTAAACCGAAACCAGTAAGGACCCCCAAAAGGGACCATATCCTTTGAACGAGCGATGCACGGTTCAGTTGGCATCAGCGAGTTTTGGGTTTATGGGTTTGGGGGTTTTGGGGGTTTAGGGGTTTAGGGGTTTAGGGTTTTAGGGGTTTAGGGTTTTGTTTAGGGTTTAGGGGTTATTTAGGGGTTTAGGGTTTAGGCTTTAGGCCTCAGGGTTGCACGTTCGATGTTGAGAGTTCTACGAACTTGTACTGAGTTCAGAAACGGGTTGCGACTTACTTGTCGAATACTACACCTTTAAGCCTTTGGTTCAGCAAAGATCATTTTTCTCAGATCGGTACTACAAATCCTACTCAGCTGACTGCCATGCTGGTCGTCAAATACAAGTAGCACGTGGTAAGTGAAGTTCTGACTCTTTAGCCTTCGAAAGTTCCACTGTGCACATTGATGCTCAGCAACATACTTGCGCTGTTCATGCCTACACGGCATTGGACCCTACTGCAAAGTGCCTCAGGTTTGGGGTTTAGGGTTTAGATTTTAGGGGTTGAGGTGTGCGGGTTTAGGGCTTCAGGGTCATAGGGGTTTTCGGGTTTGGGGGTTTCGGGGTTGAGCCGTTCCCTAAACCCCCTAAACCCTAAACCCTAAACCCCAAACCCTAAACCTTTTTTTTTCCAGGTCTGGCCCCGCTACAAATGGCCAGCAACGTCCGGCGAGTGGTTCTGGACGAGGGGCGGCTCCGTGGCTCGCCTGCTGTTGGCGGATGTTGACTTTCTTGCTTTTGGTAGTATATTTTAGGGGCCTAGGGTTTAGGGTTTAGGGTTTAGGGTTTAGGGTTTAGGGTTTAGTGTTTAGGGTTTAGGGTTTAGGGTTTAGGGTTTAGGGTGTAGGGTTTAGGGTTTAGGGTTTAGTTTTTTTTTCTTTTTTGCGGGGGGGGGGGGGGGGGGGTTGGCCAGAGAGCCCCAAGCAGGGCTTCCAGAAAGCAAGAGGCTTTAGGGTTTATAGGGTTTAGGGTTTAGGGTTTAGGGTTTAGGGTTTAGGGTTTAGGGTTTAGGGCTAGGCGTCCCTTGAGACTTGAGTAGTCACTGTAGTCCCTAAACCCCGAAACACTAAACCCTCAACCCTAAACCCTCAACCCTAAACCCTAAATCCTAAACCCTAAGCCCTAAACCCCAAGCCCTAAACCCTAAACCCTAAACCCTAAACCCTAGGCAGGGTATCCCTCCCTGGTACGCGCTGAGCCCCCCCAGTTAAAGCTCAGGTCGTGCCTCCAGGCTCTTCGCAAGGATGCTCCAAGGCCTGCTTTCCGGGCTTAGGGTTTAGGGTTTGGGCTTTAGGGTTTAGGGTTTAGCGTTTAGGGTTTAGGGTTTAGGGTTTAGGGTTTAGGGTTTAGGGTTTAGGGTTTAGGGTCTCCACTGCTTTCCACTGGGCCAGAAAGTGGGGGCCGGGGGCGGGGGGCATGGGAGGGGGGGCGTTGATAAACTCTAAACCCCTAACCCGAAACCCTAAACCCTGAACCCTAAACCCTAAACCCGAAACCCCTAAACCCTGAACCCTAAACTTTTTGGGGTCCACGGTGGTAGGGTTTATGGTTGAGGGTTTGGGGTTTGCGGTTTAGGGCTGCTGAGGTCTTAGGGTGGAGGGAGAAGTGGACCCTAATCCCCAAACCCGAAACCCGAAAACCCGAAACCCTAAACCCTAAACCCTAAACACTAAACCCTAAACCCTAAAACCCCCTGTGACTTCAGGGTTTTCCCACCAATCCTAGGGTTTAGGGTTTCGGGTTGAGGGGGGCCCCAACATGCGGCTGCAACCAATCAGAGCTGTAGTTGCCCCCTATAAACCCTAACCCCTAAACCCCTAAACCCCTAAACCCCTAAACCCCTAAACCCCTAAACCCCTAAACCCCTAAACCCCTAAACCCCTAAACCCCTAAACCCCTAAACCCCTAACGCCGCTAGCAGGGATGCGCGCGCATTCACAATCGCAGCAGCAGTACTCCCTGGTGTGGACTGACATAAGTCTGCTCAAGGAAATGTTCTTGAATGATTGGTGGCTTAAAATTTTTCCGAAAATTTGCGAACAAGAAGGGTTAAACGATGCATCGGGCATTAGTGTTTCACATACCTTGTTTTTGCGAAAAGTTACTAAGTGCAATGCCCCCACAGTCGGGTGTGTTACTAGTAATGCTTTGTTGTTTAGTGCAGCAAGGAAACATTTTGTGGGGCAGGGTCAGGTCATGTGCCCTTATTGCCAGGCATGGGACTCACAGCAACACCGGATGCTTGAATGCCCGCACTTCCAACCTCTCAGGGAGTTGTTGCCTAATGACTTCTTGTCGTCTCTCACAAGGCCAGCTTTGCTCAGAGGACTCTGGGTCATTCCGCCAGAGTGTGCTAAATTGCAGGAAGCACTGGAGGCATTGCCGCCGCCAGCGCACAACGTGTTTTTTGAGGAGCACATTTGTTTGTTTACTGATGGGTCCACTTACGACAGCACGGGCGTTCCGCGTAGTGCGTGGGCAGTGGTGTGTACGCGAGAGGGTTCCCTTGACAATGCGATTGTTGAGTCAGCGTGCCTGTGTGGGAAGCAAAGCAATCCAAGAGCAGAGCTCACTGCAGTGCTGGTGGCGTTCCAACATGCGGTGACGGCAGACATTTACTCAGATGCCCTCGGGGTGGTCAGGGGTGTTCGTCGTTTGTTGAGGGAGGGGTGGCGATATAAGTACTGGGGAAAGCAGGTGAATCTTGATCTGTGGTGGTTGGTTTGGCAGCAGATTTTTTCCAAACCCGGGCCTTGGAAAATATTTCATGTGAAATCCCATTCGGACCATCGAATGGCCGTTGATCAATTTAGCAAGTGGACATTCTGGCATAACGCAGCTGCGGATGAAGCAGCCAAGGCTGCCCACTTGAAAAGAAGCGTGGAGTTGAACCAATGCTTTGAGCAGGCATCAGCCGCAGCTGCTTCCCAACGTCACGCCGCCGCTAAACTCTTTGCATTCCATGAGGGAGTGGTGAAACAAGCTGGAGGTGATGAAAATCCCCAGATGCTTTCCGTGGGTGGGTTAGGGTTTGGGGTGGGTGGAGATGGACAAATTGACCTTATCAGGGATTTGGGCGGCGTGCAAGTACAGACGTGTGTCCAACCTTTGCTGGAGTTCGACGATTGCTTGATGGGCCCGCGTTTTCTGTGGGTACTGCAGAAGTTTTTCTTGTCTCAGTCATGGAAGCAAACACAGTCGCCTGTGTCAGTGCTGGAAATATATCTCGAATTTGTGGCGCAAACCGGCTGGATCGCACCAGCCAACACAGCTAAGATGGAGTCTGCGACATTGCCTCTACGCTATCGAAATAGCATCCCGTCTTCGTGGGTTCATGAATCGGAATACCCAGCTCTCAAGCTTTGTCGGCCTGCGCTCGGGAAGCAGGTAACCGTCTTTCTGCATGCGATTAAAGAACTGTTCAAGCGCACGCAAGCTGAGCATAGCGTTGTACAGGAAAAGGCCTTGAGTGTCATAGGTCTTTCAAGACGAGTGCCGGCTCTTTATATCTGTCCAATGACGATAGATGCACAGGCTATCCGGCTGAAGTCTGTTATTGGGAGTGACAAGTACGACTTAGTCGTTAAACGGCCGTACTCGCCTCCAGCTAATGTTTTTCAAAGTTGCCCTTTGCCAGTTGTGGATCCACAAGTTGTGTGGAATTTATACTGCCAACGCCACAGGCAGCGAAGGCGGTGATCTCTTAGTTTTCTGCAGTCAATTGATAATTCACTTCTTCGCTAAGGATCTCTTGCGTTCTTCTCGCATGGGACGTCCGATGACATCTTGCATAAACCCCTAAACCCCTAAACCCCTAAACCCCTAAACCCCTAAACCCCTAACTGTAGTTGCCCTACTTGCAGACTGACAACCCCAGTTTCTTACCGCAGTTATAGTTATCCATGAACCTCCGAGTGTCAGTACGCTCAAAGCTGTAGCCCCTTAGGACTTCTTGTTTTGTCTTTGCTTATATAAATTGCCAGGCATGCAAAACTGTTATGTTTAATACGGCTTAAAATAAGTTCTAGTAAACCCTAAACCCTAAAACCCTGAACCTAGACCCTAATGTTCTACCTGTTTTGGTGGGGCCCCCGAATAAAGTCAGATTGGCTGGGCTATTCAGGACACCCTCACTGTTTGGGGGTGCGGGTGCCGTGAGAAAATGACGCCGTTAACAAAGATTGCCGGGCATCGCTGCCCCTTTTAAGCTTACATAAACTCCTCCCTTTTAAAATCATTTAAAACCCGTGGACCGTGTAAGCAGAACTGTTCTGGCGGGGGGGGGGGGGGGGGCACACCAAAACAGGTATGGCATTAGACTCTAAGCCCTAAACCCTACCATCATCTCCCCCGACAAAGAGGCGAGCCCGTACCTCGGACCAGGCGCCGATGGGAGGGGGGGTTTGCATCTTTGCTTCGGGTGTAGGGCCTTTTGGGTGTCTGAAGTCTAAGTCCCTAAGTAGGTGATAGTCCAAGTTACAAGTAGGATCGCCGCAACAGAGGGTACCAAACCCTAAACCCTAAACCCTATAACCCTAAACCCTGAACCCCATGCCGTTTCTCCTACTTGCTGTCGTGCCCGCGGCCTTGAAGCTGAGTCCACGGAGTCTAGCCTTAAGGCTTTCCCTACACCCTACACCATGACCCTAAACCCTAAGCCCAATGCACTCGGTGCATGAAGTTTGCCAGTCTCATTCATTATGGACATGTAAGTGTCCATGAGAAACAAGAGACTTCAAAAGCTTGGCAGCAACACCACGCCGATGGTCTGATGATGTCTGATGTAGGCATCTACGATGGCGCAGCAAGGGGCTTGACTCCAATATCCTCCGCATCATTATTGATGGACTGGACAAGAGCAAGGGAAGCTGGCCGAAGTATGATTTCAGGAAGCCCAAGAGACTGGACAAGTTTCAGAGACTGCGCCACACCATCCATCTGGCAATAGCACATGGATTTTGCTGCGACTTCTACCTAATTGGCCCCTAAATAACTCACATATAACCTCTAAGACTAAGGGAGGGACCCTTATGAGGGACCTTTGCGGTTCTTGAGGGGTTACTTGGGGGCTACTTAGGTATATGGGGGCCATATAAGGTTTCTTGCAGTTATATAATTTTTGGGGGTTTAGGGTTTAGGGTTTAGGGTTTAGGGTTTAGGGTAAGGGAGCATCTTAGAACAGCTCTCCAGAACAACTCCTCCACAGGCTAAAGTCTTTGGGTTTAGGGTTTGGGGTTTGGTTTGGGGTTTGGTTTGGGGTTTGGGGTTTGGGGTTTGGGGTTTAGGGTTTAGGGTTTGGGGTTTAGGGTTTTGGGTTTGAGGCTTAATCGCCCTGATCTTGATGCTGCTTCGGCGACCAGCAAGCCCATGCCTTAGGGTTTTCTTGGCTTCATCAAGGGCCCACTTAGGGTTTTAGGGCTTAGGGTTCAGCGCTCAGGGTTCAGGGTTCAGGGTTTAGGGTTTAGGGTTTAGGGTTTAGGGTTTAGGGTTTAGTAGGGTTTCTCGGTGTTTTGCCACGCAGGCGCCGACGGTGGCATTCAGCACCTCCTGCTAGTGAGACGAAGAAGGAGCACCGCTGCGCGGGATTCTGCGGTTTGGGGTTTAGGGTTTAGGGTTTGGGGTTTAGGGTTTCGGGTTTGGGGTGTACGGCTTGGAGTTTAGTAGGGTTTAGGGTTGGGGGCTTGGCGGTTTGGGGATTAAGGATTCTGCGGGACTCGCTCGTGGGGCTCTTCCCTTGGCTGTACTGTTTACTGCGGTGCAACAACAGATCGTACGCAACATGTTGACTTTGTCCACGCTTAGTAAGATTCGGGCTTAGAATCTCGGGCATACTGCAGGCAAGAATAAACCCTAAACCTCAATCCCCAAACCCCCAAAGCAAACCTACAATTAAACCCTAGTCCCCAAACCCTAAACCCCAAACCCTAAACCCTAAACCCCAAACCCTAGACCCCAACCCCCCCCCCCCCCCAAAAAAAAAAAAAACCTTGGCTGTGAAGAGCCTTGGCAAAAAAAGCTGCTTGGTTCAGACTCGGCAAATTGGCTTACTCAGGCCAAGACTTGAACAGATAAACTTTTAGGGTTTAGAGTTTAGAGTTTAGGGTTTAGGATTTAGGGTTTAGGGTTTAGGGTTTAGGGTTTAGGGTTTAGGGTTCGGGTGGAGAAATTAGGAACAATAAAGGGTAACCTTGTGTTTATTCCTTGGTTTTTGGAGAAGTTAGTCAGGGGAAGCTTGATATCCTGATCCTCGAGGAGAACCGGCTGTTTTCACTTCGCGCCAGCTTGCCTTCAATGCCCTCCATGCCCTCCATGCCCTCCATGCCGGTTCTGCCCTGAGGTTGTGCAGGTTGCGAGCTTGAAAAAGCCCTAACCCCTAATCCCTAAGCATTTCGCGGGAATTTTCCTGTTTGGGGTGTATGAAGCTCTAAACCGCAAGGCCCTGAGAGGTTTGGAGCTCCATGTTTCAGCCGGTCCTTTCGAACAATTGTCCCAGTGAGTTGTCGTGGTGGGGGGGGCCTCAAATTCAAGTTCTGGCATTTCTGGGGTAGGGTGCTCCTATGTTGGGACATGTGCACCCTAAACCCTAAACCCTAAGCCCTAAACCCTAAACCCTAAACCCTAAACCCTAAACCCTAAACCCTAAACCCTAGACCGTAAACCCTAAACCCTAAACCCTAAACCCTAAACCCTAAACCCTAAACCCTAAGCCCTAAGCCCTAAACCCTAAACCCTAAACCCTAAAGATCTCGCCGTTGTCATGGTGGCTTTTGTCCCGTGCTTTGCCTCATCGTAGGAAGCATTGGCCAAAGCTTTTGAACAGACATGGGAAGGCTTAGGTTTTTGTAGGGTTTAGGGTTTAGGGTTTCGGGTTTAGGGTTTAGGATTTAGGGTTTAGGGTTGAGGGTTGAGGGTTGAGGGTTGAGGGTTGAGGGTTGAGGCTTGAGGGTTGAGGCTTTAGGCTTTAGGCTTTAGGCTTTAGGTTTTAGGCTTTAGGCTTTAGGCTTTAGGCTTTAGGCTTTAGGCTTTAGGCTTTAGGGTGTCCAGTGGCCGATGTGAATGGTTCTTGGGACGTCTGTCCGGTTTAGACGTGCTTGACTGAGGTATGGGGTGATGCTAAACTTTAGCAGCTAAAGTTTGGGGGTATGGTTTATTCCCCACCTTCGGTGTGGGGTTGTTCGATTTTAAACTCAACTCTTCTCCTCGCCCGGTCTACTCCTAGAGACTCCCTGGAGTGCCCAACCCCAGACACTCCCTGGATGCCAAACCCCCAAGTCCCTAAGGCGGGGATGTTCGAAGTTGATTTGTTGAGGTTATAAAGGGGTACTCGGTGTCCTTACGATGTGCAGCAGAGACACATCTGGCTGGTAGCTTTCCGGTGACAGTTGAGAACCATGTGGGGTTTAGGGCTTAGGGTTTAGGGTTTAGGGTTTAGGCTTAGGGCTTAGGGCTTAGGGCTTAGGGTGGAGGGTTCACGCATCACCAGATTGGGACGTTTCGTCCCCCCCCCCCCCCACACTGCTAACAGTCCTTAATCGGATTACAGTGCCCCCCATTAGAATCCCCATGAAGGTCTGTTAGTATAAGGGGGAACCCAGATCTTCCAAAGCCCCTTAATTTAGGAGTATACCGTAATTTATACGAAGGATCAGGATTATGAGTTAGGGGTATATTCCTTAATGTTCTAGTTTATACTAAGGATCAGTATTATGAGTTAGGGACATATTCCTTAAAAGAAGGGGGTATTGGAAGATCTGGGAACAGCCCAAGCACCAAAGGTTGAGGGGTTTTGGAGGTGGCTTAGGGACTCAGGGCTTCTGTGCTGAGACCCCCCGCGCGTTCCTGAGCCCCGAAGGTAAGCCCTAAACCCCAAGACCCTGAACCCTGAACCCGAAACCCTAAACCCTAAACCCTAAACCCTAAACTTCCTAAGGCCATGCCCGCGATGCCCTCCATCACGGTTCCGCGGCTCCTCTCTGTCCCTGAAGGCCCATTAAGCCCCTACAAGCCCTCTGTATAGGGCTTAGAAGCCTTGTAGCCCTAAACCCTAAACCCTAAACCCTAAACCCTAAACCCTAAATCCTAAACCCTTGACCCTAGACCCTAGACCCTAAACCCTAAACCCTAATCCCTAAACCCTAAACCCTAAACCTAAACCCGATAATGCCCTAACATCCCATAACGCCCTGCAGACCCCGCATCCTGATCCCTAAACCCTAAAGGGTTTAGGGTTTAGGGTTTAGGGTTTAGGGTTTAGGGGTTAGGGGTTAGGGGTTAGGGGTTTAGTGGTTGCAGGGCTTGGGGTCTTGGGGGTTCAGTGCTGAGGGTTTTCGGGCATTTTACTGCGAAGCCGAGCACGCTGGCCCTGCGAAGGACGAAAGTCAAGACCTCCAGATTTGGGGTTTAAGGTCTAGGGTTTAGGATTTAGGGTGTTGCTCTGGTCCAGGGTCCGGGGTTCTCAGAAGATTCAGTGCCACCCTCCAACAACGGATTTCCAATGCGGTGCTACTTAATTAGGCCACAAGACCCTAAGTCAGGCTAGAAGCTTCAGGCAAGCCCAGACAACCCCGCACAACCCCAAATAAATATCCTTAACAATCCTAGATGACACTAAACATCCTGAACCCTCAAGAACCCTCTGTAACCTTAGCTTAATTACTGGTTCTTCGTGCGGAGTGAGGAAAGTAGAATCCCGTAAAGGGTATATACAGGGGGTCTGCGGGTCGGGGATAGAAAGATACCTAATCCCCTCAACCCTAAACCCTAAACCCTACACCCTACACCCTAAACCCTAAACCCTAAACCCTAAACCCTAAACCCTAAACCCTAAACCCTAAACCCCTAAACCCCTAAACCCTAAACCCTAAACCCTAAACCCTAAACCCTAAACCCTAAACCCTAAACCCTAAACCCTAAACCCTAAACCCTAAACCCTAAACCATAAACCCTAAACCCTAAACCCTACCATGTGAAGCAACGCTGCAGACTCGCGAGGCCCCTCCTTGGCCCGCCGCCGAGGGTCCTCGGAGGAGCCCCGAGGGCGAGAGCAGCAGGCCAGGGCGTTTTGGGACAAAGCCGGGACCGCGAACGGTTTAGGGTTTAGGGTTTGGGGTTTAGGGTTTAGGGTTTAGGGTTTGGGGTTTGGGGTTTGGGGTTTGGGGTTCGGGGTTTAGGGTTTAGGGTTTAGGGTTTGGGGTTTGGGGTTTGGGGTTGGGGAGAAGCCCCCGAAGAAGGGTTTGGGGGGAGGCCCTGGGATCGAGGCGCGAGATCTAGAGCACTTATGGGCATCGTCCAAGGACGAGGTGTCAGCCAAAAGATACCCGAGGGGTTCCATTTAGGGAGAATTACGCCTAGTCAAGGGCATTTGAGGGAAACCCATGAAAGGGGGCCACCACCCAAGGGGCTTCTGATCACCCGAACCTAAGCAAGGGTTAAAATCCCTGTAAAGCGATGGGAACACCTGAAAAGCCACACCCCTAACTTACTGTAGTTGTGGCGGGCTACAACCCTGAATTTTCCGAAAGCGAAACATGCAGACAAGCGTGGATAACTAGTGCAAAACCCCTGCAAAGCACTGGGAACACTTGACAAGCGACTCCCCTCGTGTTGCGTCCATTAGCACTGCCAGCCGGTTTTGGCAGTCGCTCTTCTAGGGATAGGGTTTAGGGTTTAGGGTTTGGGGTTTAGGGTTTAAGGTTTAGGGTGTAGGGTTGGGGGTTTAGGGTTTAGGTCACCTTAAACTTTGAGGTTTTGGTTTGTTAGGGTTTAGTCCTCCAACCCAAGATAACGAAAACGATGTCAATGCAAAAAGCTATCCGAGTCTCCCCAGATCTTGTCAGAGGTGGACAAGTTCAGTATGAGTTTAGGGTTTAGGGTTTGGGGCTCCATTATGCGCGTTTGGGGACGGGGTTTGTAGGGTTGTTTATGGGGCTCATCGGTTTTATACACAAACCACAAACTACACTCCAACACCATCCGAACCCCCCCCAAAAAAAATATATATATATATATATGTATATATGTATATATATATATATGTATTTTACTTCGAACATCCCCACCCTCTCTTGGTACAGATACTCTGGGTTGGGCACTCCAGAGACTCTGGGGCTGGGCACTCCGGGGACACTCTGGGGTTGGGCACTCCAGGGACTCTGGGGTTGGGCACTCCACGGCGGGGAATCAGGGGACACTCTGGGGTGGGCACTTCAGAGAGACTCTGGGTTTGGGCATGGGGCTGGGCACTCCGGGGACACTCTGGGGTTGGGCACTCCAGGGATGAGCGAGGAGTAGACCGGGCGAGGAGAAAAGTTCCGGGCGAGGAGAAGAGTTGAGTTTAAAATCCAACAACCCCACACCGAGGGTGGAAAAACAAATATATATACATAATAATAATCATAGTAATAATAATAGTAATAAGAATAATATTAATAATAGTAATAAGAACGCCTAAACCCTAAGCCCCCAAACCCTAGAGACACGCCCCACGTGGCTCGGGGCCTACAGAAAGCAAGGCCTGTTCGCAGCTCTCGGCTTGAGCTTGGGAAACTTACAGCTTCTTGTTGCTTAGAACACAGCCCATAAAACATAAATAAAGAAATATATATAAATATAAATATATAAATAATAATCATAATCATAATAAGAATAACAATAATCATAAGAGTAAAAATAAAACCCCAGACCCTGTCGAACAATGTCTCATAGGGTTTGGGGCTGAGGATTTCAAGTGCACTTGCCGGCGTTTCGGCAAGGGTGGATTCTGCTGCAGATCTTTGTGAGACGTCACACGCGAGCACGTGCGAAGTCGAAGCCATGTCGCTCTTCACCAAGATCATCCGAGGTGCGACTTCTCAATTCCTCCTAAGAATTGTTCAGAACTGAGTAGCTGAGTGAGCACGTTTAGGGTTTAGGGTTTAGGGTTTAGGGATACTATAATCCCCTATAGAACTGAAAGGTGTGCTTTTTTCAGGGGGTTTATGAATTATGAACTCAGCAACTAGGAGAAGGTTCCTCAGCCCTCAGCCCCCTAAGAATCCACCCCCGTCACGCCCAAAAATGGCCAAAATCTCCTCTACCCCTAACCCTAAACCCTAAACCCAAAACCCAAAACCCTAGGCCCTAAACCCGAAACCCCAAACCACATGAAACTAGCCTCATCACTTTGTGGTGCTTTACTGTAACTTTAGATGCTTAGCCTTTTTGGGCTTATTGGTTTTAGGGTTTTAGGGTTTACGGTTTTAGGGTTTTGGGTTTAGGGTTTAGGGTTTTGGGGTTTAGGGTTTAAGGTTTAGGGTTTCATTTTTTACTACCCTCCTAAGTGCAGCCAAGATCAACCTCGACGCGCGGACGTGCTAAACAGGGTTGTTCAGCGCCTGCGCTTCCCAATTATGAACCATGGTTGCTTTTTGGTTGTTCAAGGGTTTAGGGTTTAGGGTTTAGGGTTTAGGGTTTAGGGCTTAGGGTTTAGGGTTTAGGGTTTAGGGTGTAAGACAGTAGGTCTTTAGGATGCTGAGCTAGCCGTACACTGGCTTATCATGTTGGCTTATCATGTCTATGATTGCCGTGTGGCAGGGTTTAGGGTTTAGGGTTTAGGGTTTAGGGTTTACGGTTTAGGGTTTAGCGTCTAGGTTTATAGTCGAAGCTTTCGAACAGTTATCATTGCTCTACATTGCTGCTATTCCTTGATCTTTGTCACCCAGCTCATTATCATTATGATTTCTATCATTGCGTTTCTATCATTGCGTTGGCACGTTTTATTCTTGGGCGATATGCCCTGGAAGAAGTGGCTTTCACCTACCATGCGTTTTGCCTAAACCCTAAACCCTAAAGCCCTAACCCTAAACCCTATGGTAACTAAACCCTATGGTACCTAAACCCTGAATCTTTAGTATGAATGGCTGGAAATGCTCCTTGCCAGGGGACATACCCTCCTCGAAGGTGGCCGAAGGAGAACGCTGGTGACCCGTGCTCTTAAGGCCTTTAAGGGTCTTTCAGGGTTCTTAGGGGTTCGAGGGCGTTTAGAGTTTTTAGGGTGTGTTCTGTTTTGGAGGTCTTGAGGGTGAGGGCTGAGGGTGCAGGGTCTAGCGTTGGATGGTCGGAATGAAATCTAGCCCTTGCTTCAGCTACTGATGATATCCTAGCTAGGACAAGGGGGACCCTTAAAAGGGAACCCTTCTTAACCCTCTTCTGGCTCTCTTAAACAGGGACCTTATTCAGAGGGTCTATGTCCCCAAGGGTCCCCCCAATCCTATCCCCGATGATAGGATTTTTGCGAGGGTGGTCGAGAGGGGGGGAAGCCCTGCATCTTCGTGTTGTTCCTCGTAGGGAGTCTCCGAGCGATAGGTTGACTACAACATCCTTTAAAGAGGTACATAGGCTTGGTAGCCCAGTAGTACCCTTTACCCTTTTTTGGGGTTCAAGGTTCCCTTATAAAGTAACCAACCCCAAAAGGGGTGCCCTTATCAGAATATGGCTACTGGGCTACGAAGTAGGGAAGCATCAGGCGCTTAAACCCTCAACCCTAAACCCCATGAACTTTCAAGTAAACCCCCGAACCTGTCAGAAAGCTTGGCATGCGGGAGGTACGCGTTCCTGGACATCAACCCACGCCGGGAGGGGCACACGCTGGTCGTGCCAAAGGAGGCTACAGCTCCCTAAACCCTAAACCCTAAACCCTAAACCCTTGGCAAGACGGATCTCTTCTTTTCGATTATACATTTCTTTGTGTTTCTCTATCTGTTGTGGTGAGTCTTTCCGCTCGGTCCATCTGTCGATCTCTGTGTCTATCCATCCGCTACTATCTTCTGGTATCCCTCGAAGGGCAGTGTGCAAACCCTAAACCCTAAACCCTAAACCCTAAACCCTAAACCCTAAACCCTAAACCCTAAACCCTAAACCCTAAACCCTAAACCCTAAACCCTAAACCCTAAACCCTAAACCCTAAACCCTAAACCCTAAACCATAAAACCTAAACCATAAACCCTAAACCCTAAACCCTAAACCCTAAACCCTAAACCCTAAACCCTAAACCCTAAACCCTAAACCCTAAACCCTAAACCCTAAACCCTAAACCCTAAACCCTAAACCCTAAACCCTAAACCCTAAACACTACACCCTAAACCCTAAACCCTAAACCCTAAACCCTAAACCCTAAACCCTAAACCCTAAACCCTAAACCCTAAACCCTAAACCCTAGCCCTAAACCCTAAACCTGCTGGGGCAGGAGAAGCAGCGCATTGCGGAGCTGTCCACAGACTCGCGCGTGGCGCTGTTAGAGGCTGGGGTTGGCGTCTCCAGTTTCCACTTGGGTGACCATTGGGGATGCAGAGTCGAGGGCTTTAGGGTTTTGGGTTTAGGGTTTAGGGTGTTGGGGCCTACTTTGCTTTGGTCCCAGGAGCCTGGAATCCCTGACTTTGGAGAAGTTTGAATCCCGAAGCCCTTGGACCTAAGACCCTACAAGAGTTTAGGGTTTAGGGTTTAGGGTTTAGGGTTTAGGGTTTAGGGTTTAGGGTCAGGGTTTGGGGTTTAGGGTTTGGAGTCACAGTCCTAGACAACCCAAAGCCCTAGACCAGACAACCACAAGCTCTAGACCTAAACCATCAAAGCCTCTGAACTAGAAGCTGAGTGAGTACACTTTACACGTTTTGGGATTGAAAGTGTACACTTTTTGGGGGCTTATGAACTCAGCAACGAAGTGAAACCTCTTACTCCACCAACCGTCTGGACTTGCACACGTGTGGTTTCACAGAACTCTTGCGCTTGTTTTGCGGAAAACCGGGCAGCAAATAGGGTTTAGAGTTTACAGTCGGGCTCAGTAGGGTTTAGGGTTGAGGGTTTGGGGTTTATATGGTGTAGGGTTTAGGGTTTAGGGTTTAGGGTTTAGGGTTTAGGGTTTAGGGCGCTTACTGCGCTTACTGCGCTTGAGATGAGCCAGGGAGTGGCAGAAGTTCAGCGGCGGCTGACGCGACTTGACTTGTTCAGCCTCTGAAAATCTAAGAATAACTCAACATACCCCAAACCCTAAACCCTAAACCCTAAACCCTAAACCCTAAACCCTAAACCCTAAACCCTAAAAAACCCGAAACCCTAAACCCTAAACCCCATTCCTAAACCCTAAACCCTCAAACCTCTGCAAGGAGAGAATAGGGAAGGATTTTAGCCCATACTATAAGGGTCGCAATAATTACAAATAGTATTCCCTTATGGTCCCTGTCTAATGGTACTATAGTCACCCCCGGCACCCTATTCCAGGTATTAAGGCCCCTACCCCTTAACCTCTCAAAGGAGAATAAAAGCAAGGATTTTACCCATACCCCTTGATTTTCTTTTGGGGTTTAGGGTTTAGGGGTTTGGGTTTAGGGTTTAGGGTTTAGGGTTTAGGGTTTAGGGTTTAGGGTTTAGGGTTTAGGGTTTAGGTTTCAGGGGTCGGGGGGGGAGTGGGAAAGGGGGTGTTGTGCAAAAGGGCCTGGGCCCCCTGAACCTCCAAAAAGGAGAACGCCCGGAAGGATTTCGCCATTCCCCCCTGATTTTCTTTTAAGGGTTTAGGAGTTCGCGTGTCATGAAGTTGCGTGTTCTGTCCAGCCCACCGGAGTCCTGAGCCCTCGGCAGGGGCGACGTTTTTTCGCATGTCGCGCTGGGTATCTGCAGCAATATATCATAGAGGTGCCCCCCTTGCACCCAAAGGCACCCCAGTTTCGACCACTAAATCCTAAACCCCAAACTCCCTAAAGCCTAAACCCTTTAGGCCCCCGAGCCCAAACTTCAAACTCCCTAAATCCTTACTCATGACCCCTAAACCCTAAACCCTAAACCCTAAACCCTAAACCCTAAACCCTAAACCCTAAACCCTAAACCCTAAACCCTAAACCCTAAACCCTAAACTCCCAACTCCCTGAACCCTCAACCCCGTGGAGCTTTGGACTCCTACTCTACAGCATATTTTGGGCACCATACGGGTCTCCCACGCCCTAAACCCTAAGCCCTAAACCCCAAAACCTTGATGCCCAGCACTACCCCTAAACCCTAAAACCCTAAACCCCAAACCCTAAACCCTAAACACCAAACCCTAAACCCTAAAACCAATATACTTGGTTTCTGGGTGACCTACCTTTAGGGGTTTAGGGTTTAGGGTTATAGGGTTTAGGGTTTAGGGCTTAGGGTTTAGGGTTTAGGGTTTAGGGTTGCAAGTTGGAGGCTGTTGATTCTGGGCACGGATTAGGGTTTACAGGGTTTAGGGCTTCTAGGCTCGGGTTTAGGGGGTTGAGAGTGTGACGAGTTCAAAGTAGGGTTCAGAGGGTTCAGAGGGTTAAACCCTAAACCCTCAACCCTCAACCCTCAACCCTAAACCCTAAACCCTAAACCCCAAACCCTAAACCCTAAACCCTAAGCCAGGGTTCATGATCCAGGTCTGTCTTCGGCACCAAGGACAGAGAGCGCACCCAGCCGCCCCAACACCTATGCCTGCGCTCAGCTCTCCTTATGGCCTAAACCCTCAACCACAGACTCTGAACCCCAAACCCCTAGCCTACGAATTGCTCAAGAACCCCCCGCAAAGAACAACATATTCTTTAGAAGGGTATTTCATGTAGGGATAACGATTTTAAAATTTTTCAAAACGTGTTCTCAAGCAAATAGTAGACTCTGAACCCCAAACCCCTAGCTTGCTTCCGATAGTCCATGTTCTGTCTGTAGTTGGGACTTTTGGGCTCGACACCCTCCGAAAAACCTCGAAAAACCTCCAGCTTCTCCGCGAACCTCCAAACACAAGACCTTTAGGGTTTAGGGCAGTTTAGGGTTAGGGTTTAGGGTTTTGGGTTTAGGGTTTAGGGTGCCCCCTTGAAGCCCCACCCAAACCCTATGCCCAGGTGACCTAGTGTGCGCTTTGACTTTGGGTTTGGAGCTGTCTTCAACCTTAAACACCCTTGAAGCTAGGCTATACACCATAAACCCCTTAAATTGTAAAGCTTACACCCAGTTCGACTATAGACACCAAACCTTTACACCAGAGACCCTAAATCCCTGGAAACACAGACCAAGAACTCTTTAACTTTTAGATCCTAAGCCCTTTGAACTATAGATCCTAAACCCTACACACCATTAAGCCCTGAACCCTGCACCCTAAACCCTAAACCCTAAACCCCAAACCCTAAACCCTAAACCCCAAACCCCAACTAAACCCTAACCCTAAACCCTAAACCTTAATTCCTACAGGACTTCCAGGTCTCCTGCCACGACGGCCCTGGGGCCGGCCAGGAGGCCAACCCTAAACCCTGTCTAGGGTTTAGGGTTTGGGGTTTGGGGTTTGGGGTTTGGGGGTTGGGGTTTGGGGGTTGGGGTTTGGGGTTTGGGGGTTTTGGTTAGGAAGTTAGGACGTTTCCCATTTCAAGGGACCTTCTGGCGAATTTGGGAGTTGGTTGGGGGCTGCGTAGGTACATAGGGAGTAAGATTAAGGGTACCCCTTAGCCCTCATACTAACAGTCCTTAACAATTAGGGATTATCGTACCCCCAACTATAACCCCCAATATGGAACATAGGGAGGAAGATTAAGGGTACCCCTTTTCGCTCATAAACACAGTCCTTAACAAGGGTTATAGCACCCCCCCCTCCCCAATTATAATCCCTATTAAGGACTGTTGGTATAAGGGGGGAGCATCCCCAAGGTGTTGGTGTTGAGGTGTTGAGAGCTTAGGGTGTAGGGGTCTTGGTGTCTAGAGGCTTAGGGGTTCAGGTGTTCGATTTAGGATTTAGGGGTTTTGGTGCTTGGGGGTTCAGGGTGAAAGGGATTTGGCGTTTCGAGGCTTAGGGGCTTGGAGGTTTTGGTGTTCAGCGTTTCGGGTTGAGGGTTTACAGGCGGTGCAGGGTTTGGCGGCCCAGGATTTTGGTGTGTTAGATCTCCTGCCTTGTTGGAGGTGCCGCACGTGCACATCCACGTGATACCGCGGACGCCTGACGACGGCGGTCGCAGTATGCTGGTCTAGGACCCAGAGTAGGCCCTTATTCACATTTGTGGGGTTTTGGGTCCCTTACAAGAAACCCTTTAAACAAAAGAGGGCATCCTCTTCATTCCTAGGTTGCTCCTGGGTCTAGTGGTGGCCAGACCCCAGTTTCAGTCCGCCTTCGTAAGCTCGCGAGGGTCCTGCGGCGGCCTACAGTCCCACAGCCTAACCCTTCAAAAGCCTAAACGGAGGACCGTGCTTAATTCGGGGTCTAGGGTTTTAGGGCTCTGGGGTTTCTCAGGAGTTAGATGGGATCCCCTACGCCCCTTAAGTGGTTCTGAAATATGGGCCCTTGTGTTTGATGGGGAATATAAGGGGCGCAGCAGCAATCCCCTTTTCAGGGCCCATACAAAGCGACCGTGTTTGGGGGTTTGGGGTCTTGGGGTCTTGGGGTCTTGGGGTCTTGGGTGAATTAGTGTCTGGACCTTCTGCGTTCCACCAAGGGACCCCAAGTTCCTGCAGTGGCTCTAGGAGTTTAGGGTTTAGGGTTTAGGGTTTAGGGACTCTAGGGCCCCCCCCACCTGAGTTCCCAGATTCTGAGGCCGACCCTGCGTTCTCGGTGTCTCGTTCAGGAGTTAGGGATTGGGATGTCCTTATATTAGCAATCCTGAATAGGGGGATAAAGTGCCCCCCTAATATTATCCCTATTTTCAGGACTGCTACAAGTAGTAGAAAGGGGAGCATCCCAAGCTAGGGAGTTTAGGAATTTGGGGCGCAGTTGTGACCGTTTAGGGTTTAGGGTTTAGGGTTTAGGGTTTAGGCTTTAGGGTTTAGGCTTTAGGGCTTAGGGTTTAGGGTTGTTTGGGGTCCCGAACGCCAAAACTTGAAGGCACGGTTTAAGCCCCCAAGCCTTCGACCTGGACCCGAAATCCGTATGTGTGGTTGTCAACATTAGGGGTAGTTTATTGGAGTCCTTAGTTACCAGTAATTATAAAGGGATCCTACTACTTGTGGGTTTATATAAGGGGTCCCCCTATTTGCGTACACCCCCATATGAACCTGAAACGCCTAAAGCCTGTCAAGAACTCAGAGTAGGCCCTTATTCTCATGCTGTTAGGGTTTAGGTTCTTTTATAAGCCCTTGAAACTAAAGATTACACTCTTTTTATTCCTAGGTTACTCTTGGGTCAGCCCAAACCCTAAACCCTAGACCGTAAACCCTAAGTATTTTTTCTTGGTTATTGGAGAAGTATCTACGGACCAGTAGGGTGGTTTGGGGTACGGCCTGAGGCCATGTGGCCGAAAGCGCCGCCGATTGGCTCCCAGGACGTCGGGCCCGGGTTTGGGTCTTTTTTTGGGGTTTAGGGGTTTAGGGGTTCAGGGGTTTAGGGGTTCAGGGGTTTAGGGGTTTAGGGGTTTAGGGGTTTAGGGGTTTAGGGGTTTAGGGGTTTAGGGGTTTAAGGGTTTAGGGGTTTAGGGGTTTAGGGGTTTAGGGGTTTAGGGGGGGTTTAGGGGTTTAGGGGTTTAGGGGTTTAGGGGTTTAAGGGTTTAGGGGTGGTTCAGGGTTTAGGGTTTAGGGTTTAGGGTTAGCAGGGCCCTGCAAGAAACCTGAGGAGCCGGATTTCCCAGCGCTTGCGAAGTTGGCGGGGAAGCTGCGGCTTGGCGTCGCTCGAGGTAGAGAGCCCCAAGCCCCAAAACCCCCCCCCCCCCCCCCCCCCCCGGCCTGTAGTCACCCTAAACCCTAAACCCTAAACCCTAAACCCTAAACCCTAAACCCTAAACCCTAAATCCTAAACCCTAAGCCCTAAACCCTAAACCCTAAACCCAAAACCCAAAGCCCCCTAAACCCCTAGCCCCCTAAATCCCTAGACCCTAAACCCTAGAGCCCAAGCCCCACCTCAACCGCGCTTGTTCCTGAAGTCCTGACTACCCGCGCCCTCAACCTCAGCCTTAAATCCTCACGCCCTCAACCTCATCCCAAGCACTTCTCCTTGGCGAAAGGGTTTAGGGTTTAGGGTTTAGGGTGTAGGGTTTAGGGTTTAGAGTTTAGGGT